CATATACATATATATATATATATATATATATATATAAAAGCTTTCGTGCCAAAGTCAAAAATGAAATACTGGAGCGTATTAAATCCTGAAGAGTGGTGCAAACCATCCGCGAAACTCTGAAATGAAAAGAATTTCAACATTTTTTAAAGCAAAGTTGGAAACAAGAGGGTTAGGGTGGTTCAGAAGTTTATTATGGAAGGACAGGTATCTGGATTGAGCTAAATCGGAAACACATGGTACGTTAAGGTCGTTATGGATGATTTTATTTGTGACAAAGTAGGGAGCATTGAGGATTTCACGAAGGATTTTGGATTGTAGGGATTGGATACGAGAGCAATTTGATGGTTTAGTAGAGCCTCGAAGCTCGATCCTGTAATTCCAAATAGGCCTTACTATAGTAATATATATGAGTATTTTGTAAATAGTTGGAAGTTTGGAACGTTTGTCTATTAAGTGCTGCAGTAGACGAAACCGTAGGGGGGGGGTTCTAATCCTTTCAGTCTGGTATGAGGATTTGGAAGGATTTTTATGTGAAACTCGTATGTAAATAAATTTCATTGTCCATATTTCAATTTCACTGATTATAATCAGTTGTCGACATTGACTTTGATTGATATTTACATATATAATACATATGGGAAGAACGGGGTCAATAGTTACCCGGGGTAAGTTGTACAGTGCGAGATGGCACCAAAAAGAGAAAAATATAAGTCTCATAGTATAACTTAATTCATGTACGTCCTGTGATTCTTACTTATACTAATCATAATCTAAACTATGTTATAAGTTCCGAACTATAAAGACTTATTAGCAACATCAGCTGTTAATTGCAAAGTGAGATAATGTATAAAGTGAAAATACTCCTTAGAGATGTGAAGTAATTATAAATAATTTCTCTTATACAAAAAAACAAAACAATAAGCTATTGAAAATTATATCTTTTGTTTCATGATTTTTTCTTTAAATTATCAGACTTATTTGAATGAATACTCTTATGATATTTTTTAAATAAATGAATATGCATTTTTTTTTAAAACACTTTATTGAGAAATATTACAATTTGTCACAGTTAAGGACACTTATAATAGAGTTCAGAGAGTACATTCATACCGTATATACAAAAATATAAATAAATAAAGTAATAACAAAAGAATAAGACAAACATCCTAGATAAAACATACCTATATACATTATTTACAATTAGCCAGGTGATCTCCGTACCAATCCTGTCCCCTCCACATGTGGAGGGAAAAGGGAGGCTTACGAGATCCCTACGCTTCTCCCTCAGCCACTTCACTGGTATTTAAGACCAGCGGAGGATGAGTAATAGAGTATGCATTTAAATCTTTAATTTTTTCATCATATTTTTTCAACATATACCCCAGGCAGCTTGGGGGTAAGCTGTTACATTTTATTATCCTCCATACCAAATTTAATATAAAAACATTCCTTAAAGGTACACCTAACAGTCTTTCATATTTATAAAGAAGAACATCTGTACAAATTATAAGCAAGCATAAAATTTGTTAATAAGTCATTTACTAAATAATATTTGATATTATCTATTATCTATTACCTAAATAATATTGTTTAAAAATCGGAACTTTTAGCCCCCCCCCCTCTTCTCTATACAGTTAAATCAAATATAATCATAGGATATATTTTTTTGTAATACGAAAACAAAAATATTTTACACACAAAAACACACTCCTAACTAGGAATTATAAAGACAAATGAAGAGAAGAATAGTTGGGGTGGTCAGTCAAAAAAGAAGGCAAAAATAAATGATAATGTTTATTTTTACATATGCCGACGTTTCGACCTGAAGTTCAGGCCTTCATCAGGGCCTGAGAAACATAAGTAGTGATGGTAAAAAAAATATAAAAAAAATAAAGTAAAATGAAATTGTTAGAATAATGACAATAGTAAGAACTAAGAGATAAATAATAATAACCGCTACAAAGTGTGGAATGATGAAGTAGGCATAATCAAAAAGGGTGACATAAGTGTTAAAATTGGAATCTTAGAATAAAATGTAAAACATATAAAAGAAATATGAAGTTATATAAGAAATGAAAACAAATAGTAAAATTAAGACATTGAGAATGGAGTAGTTAGATAGAACATCTTTTGTAGTTAGATAGAATATTTTTTTTTACCATCACTACTTATGTTTCTCATACCTTGTTATCTGGTTATTTTCTTAGCCCTGATGAAGGCCTGAACTTCAAGTCGAAACGTCGGCATATGTAAAAATAAACATTACCATTTATTTTTGCCTTCTTTTTTAACTGACCACCCCAACTATTCTTCTCTTCATTATCCACGACAGTCAACCATTTACCAATTATAAAGACAAATGATTTACATATAAATAAACTCCGTAACAATAATTTTAGTTTAAACTCTTTAAACATTATTTTGTATTCTGTTTTTAATATGAAAAAGAATATCCATCACCTATCACAAATTTTTTTCTTAACCTCTACTTTTCCTGTTCATAAGATAGTATTTTTTTAAATGTATTTTATTTTTTACTTATCTTCTACACACCTTCTACACATTCCTCTCTATGTATGTATATATATATATATTATATATATATATATATATATAATTCTCCTCTTAATCTATCGCTTCATAGGTAGATAACAATATATAGTTCTTGACAATACCTTTATGTGTATTCACTTAAACTTCTTAAAGAACGGACGTAAATCATTTAATTTAATCTAGTATTTTTTTTTTATCTTTGTATTTTATCACTACAATGTTTTGCCTATGCAATTTATTTAGCATTCCTTTTTAATTTCATTTATTTATTTTTATGTCATGGTCATAGCACCAATATTGTACTATTGTAACCGTATTACCCATCTGCTTTCGTTAATATATCTTAAGAGCTATGTATATACTTATCATATTACTTATACTTTAGTTAATCTTTATCGTAATAGGTCTTTTGGCCAGATTTATTGTTAATTTGTATGAATAATATTGTTATTCTTAAGGAACCTAGTCCCAGAATAAAGATGATTTTCTATTTCTATTTCTATTTCTAACCAGTCTATCTCTATAATTTCAGAGCAATTGGTAATATTATTACTCAGCTGTTAAATTATTTTTTCTATAACCAGTACTTCCTTATGAAAACAATTTTTCTGGACTTCAGAGAGTTGGGACAAACAGCTATAAAATGAAAATTATTTTCTACCTCGTTTACATTACAAAGGGAACATGTTTGGAATTGAACGTCGTTATATAATTTATAATTTAGCTTTAATTAATCGGAACTTTCTTTAAAAACCCAACTAACCTTTATAATCACCCATAATTAAGTCCTGCTATTAAACATTGGTTATCTATTCAACGATATTAAATCAAAAGGTCCAAAGCAGAAAAAAAATTCTTTGAAGAAATAAAATGACGCCCTCTAGACACATATCAGTAATGAAGTAGGCCAAACAAAAAAAAAAGTTTGTAGGTAGTCATATTTATTTTTATTTTACAAACCGGAATATTCAAATTAAGTTATTGACTATAACTAGCAAATAAAAAAGTTGAATCCAACGGAAGCCCTTCCCAACTTGAAAAAAATAAGCCAGTAACCTTTAAATTAATTATTTTATCTTTATTACTTGATTTCAATAGTTAAGCATTAATAAATACTTAATAAATGAGGGCTTAAAATTACTTAGAATTATTTTTATATAATAAATCATGGAATAACTAAGCAAAAGATTAGAGTAGACTTGGGAAAAAAATATTTTAATTATTATTTTAAATTTATTATTATTATTATCAACGCAGAAAAAAAATAAGAAAGTGAAGATTCCAAAAAAAAAAAAAAAAATGGAGGAGTGAAAGTCAGAAACTAAGAAATAAGGTTTGTTTAACAGCATGTTTTCCTGGGACAGGGCATATCAATCAAAATTAGATCACAATAAATAAAAATAGATTAATTTGGAATGGAAAAAATATTGAAGCCTAAAAAATACTTAAAAATCAAACAACTTCAGATATCAAGGCAAAATTATTTGAAAAATGAGTCTATACGGAACTGAGACGTGGTCAACAACCGGAAAAACTATTTTAATCTTACTGGAAAAAACTATTTATAGAAAAGTCGGCAAAAATTAAAATAATTACTATATTTTAATTTAGTATTTATTTGACCGCACCCCCCCCCCCCCCGATTAACTCCTCATATTTTAATCTTAATAGGTCACAATTACAATTTTCTCGAAGCATAGTAGGAATTAAAAGAAAAGACAAAATCAGGACTCCTCTGTCCAAAATTAGTTGGAGCTTAAAAGAATATTTAAAGAAGCTGTTTTATTGAAATTGACATATAAGCTATATTGGACTCAAGAAGATGGTCGAAAATTTCCACGTAATGGATTCCAAGGAATAACAAGAGATGATTCTTAGAGTTTATTTAACAATAATATAGGGCTTATTTATATAGAGTTTATTTAACAATAATAACAATTTGGTCCAGCCAGATGGCAACATCCATCGGCCATGGTGCCAATATTAATAATTTACATTTATTTTTTTCTGTACTTTTTATTTTTTTTAAAAGTGTATATTTAAATTTTACCATTGTACATAGTTTTAAGTGTCTTGGTAAGGTTTCAAGAGTTTTTTATATCGATTTTTTTTATTTTATTTTGTATATAGTATGTATAACTAATATTTTTTTTTACTGATTTATCTGTATCATTACTTTTTATGTTTGTTTTTATTTGGCCAGATATAACATTTTAATTTTGTACTTTTTTTATTCTGAAGGGACTTCGTCCCAGAGTAAAATTATTTTCTATTCTACTCTATTCTATTCTAAAAATAAAAAAAAAATATTTTATTTGAAATACTGCCCGTGTCTGGATTAGATATGAGGGGGTCGCATAATTAAGTTACCATGTTTGAGTGAGGTCAGAGATAGAAAAGTTTATTTACACATTTGCCTCCTTTATTATTAACACTTAAATTCTTCTATGGTAGGAAGTCGTAAAACTGTAGTAACCTCCGACCATGTTGGAGTAAATTGGATACACAAGAAGTACGAGGTACTCGGCGCGATACCTGATCTTATGAGGGAAGGAAGGATGGTTAATGTCTCTCCTAATGATGCTGCTACATACAAGGACTTGCAACTCCATCATCAATCTCAACAGTTGGTTCAAGATACCAACCCGCAACAACCAACCACAATCTCAACTAGCTCTTCCTTCAATTTTATGGACCTAGTGAAATATTTTCATACATTCTTTATGGATATATACTGAATTTTTTTAATGATTTATTAGTCTTTTAATTTTGCATGGTGTCAACCAAAACATTTTTATAAAATTCCTAAACTTTCTCATGTTTTTCATACCATTTTTGATAAAATTCTAAATCAGTGTAGTAGCTTTTACAGGACATGACACTGGCGGATCTACGGGGCAAGGGGGGAGTTTTGGGGCTGAAGCCCCCTAAAAAGTTTTTTTTTTTCATTAGGCCATATTTGTCACTATGAGTGATCTAAGCAAAATACTTAAATAATCGCAATATGTTATGTTTTCTAAATTATAATTTCATATACGGCTACTAAATATAATAGTACGTGATAATAAAAAAAACAAAAACTGAATACAATATTATAATTTATACTTCGTGTAATTAATTTTTTATTAGGACTTCAGAATCATTTAAACACTATTGTATATAGGTAGTTAGTTTCTTTCTTTTACTTCAAAAGTAATTTTATATATATATATATATATAATATATATATATATATATATATATATATAATATATATATATACATATATACATATATATAAAATTGGTTTTGGGCTGAAGCTCCCTCAAATTTTAATCCCTCTTCTGCTATTGGAATATGCATGTAGAATATAATTAACATCCCTGCTTCTAAAATATTATGAAACGATAAGAGACAACAACAATATTTATTATTCAAAAATTTTCACGGAATGGATTCCAAGGAATAAAAAGAGAAAATTCTTCTCTTAGAGTTAATTTAACAATAATATAGAGCTTATTTATATAGAGTATATTTAAGAATAACCATTTATTCTGACAATGGTAATATCTATCGGCTGGTGCCGATAATAAAAAACCATTTTTATTAAGTCACATTTTGATTTTTCATTTTGTTAGCACTAAATACAGACAAGAAAAGAATATATGGTTAACTTCTAAAACAACGACCATTTCGATGATACCGATACGGAAGGGAATGCGTTTGAACATGTAGAGAATGTTAGGTATCTAGGGTCTACGATAACTAGAAAAAAAAATCGAAGAGGAGATTAAGGTTAGGATGAAGGTAGGAAATGCTTGTTATTTTATTTTTTTTTGTCAAAACTACTTATTTCGCGCCTCCTATCCCGAAATTTAAAAATAATAATTTACAAAACCATTATCCCTCCAACGGTTCTTTGTGGATGTGAAACGTGGCCGCTTACAATAAGGGATGAGCATTGGCTTAAGTTTTTTGAAAATAAAGTATTGCACAGAATATTCGGCCCGAAGAAAGACTGAGTCAACCGGAAAATTAAGGCGGTTACATAACGCTGAATTGCGCGAATTGTTCCAGATTAATATAATTGAGATAATAAAATTCAGGCGTATAAAATGGGGATGAAAAATCGCTGAATTTGGTAACAAAAGCATTTCTAAAAAATTAATATGCGCTGTGCAGACTGGCAAGAGTCCGAGGGGTAGACCAAAGCGAAGGAGGGAAGATTGCGTAAAGACTGATCTTGCGGGGTTGGGTTTAGACGGCGCTCGTTGGATGGAGGAATTCGGACATCGATTGGTGGTATTGGCATCGGACCTTGGGGTTAAACAAGCATTATTATTATTATTATTATGAACCACATTAAAATTATTTAAAGGGAATATTTCGGTGAAAAATCTACATCTAGAGAATCCATTGTTTCGTCACACTGTGCGATGCATAAGAAGGTCCCTTATTGCACTAGCCCTATGACCTAGTAGTTCTAAAACTGCCCTTTGGTCAGAGAAGGGTGGCTATTAATTCCTTAAAATAGTCCTTCTAGTGTTTCAGCTATAGGACACCAGGGGGCTCCTCATTTCACCTTAATGGCCAGTGGTGTTACGGTGTTTGGTTACTCACCTCTCAGCTCGGACCTCGGGTGGGTGTATGTCGAGAGCTAACATGTTCTTTGAACCCATTCCAAAGATAAATTACTTTTTAATAGTCTTATTCGGCAAATTACTTCCTTGAAAATTTCTTTAATTATTTTAGTATCACTAAACTAATTTTTCGGGGAAATGTTCTCCATCGTCAGAACATTTTTCAAGATGGTGGAGGAATTGTTGACTGTTGCAGTCATTGGAAATGTATTTTCGGATACACAAAAATAAATTATATATTTATTTTCTTTACACTAGATTTCGGCTTAAGTTTCAGGTCTTCGCCAGGGCTCCTCAATGAAAGACTATGGGACAAGTCATTTAATCAGAGTAGATCGTCCGATATCCTTTGAACGAGCAGCTCTGACGAAAGCCAGAAAATTGGACCGAAACGTCAGCATAAAGAAAATAAATATAATTTACTTTAGCGTACTTCCAATGACTGTTATCCCTAACCAAGTGCTCTTGACAGAACATTTTTTACAACAAATATTTTTACAACAAAGAAATTAAAATACTTTTATACTTTTTACTAAATGTTATTTTACATTTATTAAGTTTATATATCCGCTGGTTTTTAATACCAGTGAAGTGGCTGAGGGAGAAGCGTAGGGATCTCCTAAGCCTCCCTTTTCCCTCCACATGTGGAGGGGACAGGATTGGTTCGGAGATCACCTGGCTAATTGTAAATAATGTATATAGGTATGTTTTATCTAAGATGTTTGTTTTACTTTTATTTCTATTTTTACTTACTTATATGTATATATATATTTTTTTTTTCGTTTCTCTTTTGTTCTTTTTTCTTATTCTTTTGTTATTACTTTATTTATTTATATTTTTGTATATACGGTATGAATGTACTCTCTGAACTCTATTATAAGTGTCCTTAACTGTAACAAATTGTAATATTTCTCAATAAAGTGTTTCAGTTTCCAAAAAAGTTTATATATAATCTATTTACATCTTCACTGAGGTACGTATTATTATTTAATCAAATATTGGTAGTTACATTGTTTTTTAGTCAAAAGATGGGGACGTGATGGCTGAGCACGTTGGGGTGTGGGTTCCAGAGTGCTCGTTTCTAAACGTTGTGGATTCGATTCCCACACGAGTCGATAAATTTTCTACCCTCGGCGGCCCTGAGAAATGAATCTTGACTCTCCCACTCTGGCAAGTAAGCGGCAGTAACCTCAAGGTAGCCGTCAAGAGTCAGGCAAAAAGGAACATGCGACCCACTTGCTGAACAAGTTACCCACACCAGTACCAGTAGTCAAGAGCTATTCTATTGACTAACAATTAGACTCCTGGATTACTACTAAGTATATTATTTCAACTTCGAGCAAATTCCTAAACTCGGTGGAAAACATCAATCGATATAATTCAACGCTGTACAGCGATTTAGTTAGGAATGACCTCGTCAATTCTAGCTGGAGATTAACACTGCCAGAAGGTAATAAAACACATGAATAATATAAAAACACATTATGGAATACCTAGTGATATTTTAAATTTTAAAACAGAAATAAATATGGATAAAAAGTAAGGTGATTATAAATATACAAAGAAACAACTCTGAGCTTAAATAAAGCAAAGCCATTGGTGATCAATCGCTGAATAAAATACGCGCTGAACGCGCAACACGCGCGGTGTGTTGGATTTCTGATGCTATCGATGAGCTCAGCGCTGCGTATAAGAAGTTGGAATTTATCTTCTTTACCTCCTATATGTACCCTAACTCTTTATAAATCAGTCAGCTAATTTTCCTTCTTTTTTTTTTTTTTGTTTTGTTTTTTGTCTATAAAATATATATTTGCGCCTGTCAACAATAAGTTGACAATCAGCAAATGTGATGGCGATAATGATATAATGATATGACAGGAATGGGGAAGGAAAGTACTCAGCAGTACCTCTTCCCTAACTTGTTCCAATTACTTAGGTTGTCTAAGGAAGGAGATCCCTCATCCAACGCCTTTTTAAATATAATTTTAGTTTATATAAATATATATTATAAGGATTGATTATGCTGTCTCTCTCTCTCTTTTATATATACTTATTTTATTTATCATGGTTTTTATTGTATCTTATCTATATTCATTAATTAATATTACATTTATTTATTGTTTTGCTCAGCCTATATCAGGGCCTACAATATAGCTAAATGCGAGCAAACATGAAAGCATCATATTGTGCGTTTCTTTCATAATCGTACCTACAATCTCTCTCCTCCCCATTCTCTTCTACTTGATCAAAATAATATACTTCAATCGATACGGTTTTCAAGAATGAATGGTGCAATTAATACAATAGTAGTGAGTTCCAGAAATTAAAGAAGAACTCGAACTTTGAGCCAAATGGATCGGAGAGTTTACTACGTGATGCCGAGCTGAAATTGTGGAAATCGGCGAAGAGTAATGATTACCGTCCGCTGAAAAATCGGCCCGGAACCGCCCTAGGAACCCTCGTTATCGGAAAACGTTTCCCAAAACTAGAGGAATCGGGAGAAAAAGCTAGACAATTACCGTTCTAGCGACCCTTTCGACTTTCCACTAGGATTGAGACTTTCTTCTCTCTAAGCAGATTCAAGTCTTGACGTACTTTGTCGAAGAAAGGCATAGTTCACCAGTTGGTTTCCCGATCATAGTCAAGATCGCCCGGAAGTTAAATTATAAACGACTATATAAAAGCGACTCCTTAGGAATGGTGTGCAATAGATATAAGTAGAGACCGGATTTCCATGTTATTGAACTTTTTATTCGCATGCATGTAAAAACTCTGGACTCGAATATCTATCCATTTCAAGACCTGTAGAATAACATATTAAAATTTAATATTGCACGAAATTGCACGTTTTGTCGTTTTTAGCTTAAATTGCACGATTTTGATTTTTGTTGCATTAAATTGCACATTTTTGCACTTTTGTGCCAAAAATAAAAAATAAACGATTTATAAATACAAATGTATAAGTGAGTGTGTTAATTTTTATTTTACTATAGTGGTCAAATTAAATTCATTATTTAAAATAGAAAAATATGAGGAAGGCTTAATCTTTAATTATGTATGAAGCAAAAATCGTATTCATTACAAAAAGAAGAAGTAAACACAAGTGAGATCTATTCTTGGAATATAATTTGCTTAAAGTTTTGTATTATATAAAGCTGCTTTTCTAGAATTAGCTGTTTTGTTAGTATAACAATTATAGTTATTGTTTTGACTTGAATCCCCACTCACCGTCCAACCCTTCAGTTTCTCTTCTGGCTTTAAATTGATTGGTAGAAATTTCATTATAGAAAAAAAATTGATGATGCTGAAAGTAACATCTAGTCTCTCGTCAAAAGTTAAAATCTGGATATAAAAATACCCAGATTTGAAATGTGAGGACAAAGAATTTGATGAGAAAGTTCTTTGCACCTATGAAAAATAAACCAGGTGATAGGAAATCACTGATAGACGCTCATTGTTGAACATGTAAGAAAAAAATATACCTATCAAAGAATTAATTTTTTTTTATTTTTTAAGGAGTTTGAAAACGTAACTCCCAAAAATAGTTTTGTAGTGATATACAAAAACAGCTACAACGCTAATATTTGAACACTTAAAAATCTCAAACATTACAGTATATTTCAATTTTTTATTAATTCTTTAAATTTTAACAAAAGCGTTTTGAATGCATAATATTGGAAATTTCAAACCAATTAAAAAATAAAATTTTCATTATTATTTTTAATAAAAGTTAAATACATAAAATTGGTCTGGTCTATATAATATATAGGTACCTATAACCCCTGACTTCATTTATTCCTTAAAACCTTCAATGTTCCGCATTATTTGATAATAATCGTTATTATAATAGTAGACTATAATCTTGAATTTCCTTTTCAATGTAAAATTTCAATTTATTTTTCTGAAAAACTCTCGGTCAACTGAAGATCTGAGATTTCGATGTATTAATGTTATAAATTAAATAATATTGATGATTTTACACGTGTTTAGGTGTTAATTACACAATTATACGTATTTTGTATTTTTACCCCACGATTTTGCACATTTCGAGATTTTTACTGCACAAAAATCCGGTCTCTAGATATAAGGTACATCTTCCTATCATATAACAGAATAAAAAAAAAAAAATGAAAGGTAAGTTAAGTAATCATAAAACCACAACCATACGTAAAACATTAGTTTTTTCTCATTCCTTAATTTTTTTGTCAAACGGTTCGTTTATTTATTTAAATTGTATTAGTAAAGATTCAACTTTATTGTAAGGGAGTTGTCCCAAATACATTATAAATTTAAACCATCCCACTCATATGACAATCTTATATATAAACAGCAACTCAATAATAATCAAAACATCACTTTTGAAAAAGTACCATTATTGTTTTTATATATAATAGGGGAGCACCATATATCCACTACCGGCGGGCCAACCCCTATTTTACAAATTAAGCAAACGAAAAAGGTACGAAAGACAGGTAAATATGAAAAACGAAATTGTTAAAGAAGAGAATAGTTGAAAACTTACATTCTGAAAACTTAAAAAAAAAAATCATGTCTGGATGATGAGAATAGGGCGCAATATCGGAAAACCCGCACAGCGGTGGTGCTATGAGGGCATTCCACCTTCTATGTAAAGTAAAATATCACACGGTCACTAAATTTTATATAATAGAGAGATCTATACGGGATGTCAAGGATTAACTACATAAAAATAAAGAAAAATATTCCCCAAAAGAGAAAAAGTATTTTTTTTCCCCAATAGATTAATCACCGATATAGAGTAAGGGAACAGAACTGACTAAGGGAAACGCCATATTTTCCTAAATTAATCAAGCGCCTTGATTTTTTTTTTTAATTTTATGAAACTAGAGTAAAATATTACGTCGGATTGAATCATATATTGGACTAAAATATATTATACATCCTCGTTTGAAAGAGAAATACATAATACAGAGTTATTTTGGGAGTCAAATCTATAATTATAATCATTGGAATACGTACTCGTTGTCAAACATTTAGCAACTTATAATATTTCACCAAACTATATGTATAATTTTCGGGCATTGTAGTATTTTTTAGGAGCGTACTCTGCCACAGAATTATTTTCAACATTTTGAAAAATACTGATTGTAGACAATGAGTAATTTTTAAGTAGGGAGCATTGAGGATTTTACGAAGGATTTTGGATTGTAGGGATTAGATACGAGAGGAATATGATGGTTTAGTAGAGCACTAAAGCTCGAACCCGCAAGTCCAAATAGGCCTTATTATAGGAATATATGTGAGTCTTTTGTAAATAGTTGGAAGTTTAGAGCGTTTGTCTAGTAAGTGCTGCAGTAGTCGAAAACGTCTGGCGGTTTCTAATCGTTTCAGTCTGGTTTATATATTAACATAAGTACATGTATTAAGTACATAAGTACCAATACTACATAATTTTCTTATACTAATTAAATTCTCATTCATACAAATGTATAAATATTTGTTGGGATGAACTTTTCAGCCAGCTACCACATATTTTGATTTATCTTAGTTTACTCACAGTCAGATTTTTCTCTATTTCTCTTATCAAATTCTTGCGTGTCTCCAGTCTCTCAATTTTCTCTTCATCGCTCACCAGGACAGCTAGATGGTTTTTAAATATACATCTATCCCTCAAATAAATTATTTGAACAGTTCTGATAAAAAAAAAAATTAGATACGGGATACTTTAAAATTATTATTGTAATTTATTCACTTAGTGGGAACATACCTAATTTCATCGCCTTCTTTAAAGTTTAAAGAAAAGAGTAAAGTTGTTCAAGAAACTTATAAAGAATAAAGAAGAAGAAAATCAAAGTTTAAAAATAATTTCAACTATTAGTCTATGAAAAGGGTAATGTGTAGGATTAAGAAGGTATTTTAATTTTTTTTTCTGAACCCGGCAGTCTATAGCAGCTGGCAGATAACTCAATAGACGATAAAATCATATTGCAGATGATGGATGAGGGTGTGGAGGTGAGAGTGAGAGAGGAGAGGAGTATGGGAGGGGGGGGAAGGACTACCTCTCCACACCCCGGCCAAGATGTAATCCAATTTGTGTAAGGTTCAGATACGACGGCTAAGGAAGGGTGTTTAGTTCCCTAGGATCCTCGACAAAATGGGAGCAATGTAGCGAAACTGAGGGAAATGTGATATAGATCAGGCCTCAAGATAATATTCTATTATTATTAAATTATTCCTACAAATAATAATTTAAAATCCATAAATATATATATATATATATATCTTTTTATTGAGAAATAATACATTTTGCCACACTTAAGGGCACTGAGAACTAAAGCTGAGTGAGGCACATTCATACCATATATACAATACAATAAAAAAATAAATAAATTATTAAAAAAACAATAAATAATAAAAAAAAAATACATCTGTATAACAAAGGCAAAACATATAATAAACCAAGGAAATGTAACTTAGAGTTAAAATTAAATAAAATACAGAAATTCGTAGCAAAATTATATAAATTATAAATAAAAGAAATAAATAGAAAAACATTCATACTTAATTACAATATTTACATCTAATAAATTAGCATTTCGCTGAATCCAATCTGTGGTTGAATTGAAGGCATAATTGGTTGAATGGAAATTTCTGGAATGGAAGCTAAGGATGGCGAAGATAGAGTAGAACTAGAAAATTAATTTTACAAAGAAGGCGTAGAAGAATTGATATTTCCATAAATTAATTTAAAGAGGAAAATAACATCTTTTTTGATGCGCACATGTATTATAGAATCAATGTTTATACTCATATTTTAAATATGTTTATAATATCGTCTATCGATATTTAAGTCCGATGTTTTTATTGTGTTATAGACCGATAATTATATCGATGGTAATATCAATATTGGGCTTTCGATATCCTATCCCTATTGACTTTATACTCCCATTATAAGTATATCGTACATTTTTTTAAACAAAACGTTTTCGTGATACTTCAACTTACTTTCCTTAGCTTAGTATGTCCAAGAGCTTTAAATAGGAAGGGATTGGAAAGGGCCGGTATCTGTTGTGATGGCTAATACGATCCAACAAGGGGCCCTTACAGAGGAAATTGGGTGCAATCAGCTTACCGCAAAACAATCGCTCACCAAGAATTGGTACCGGACAGTACAGCTGCTTAAATAACCAGAGTTCAATCCCTTAATACCTCTCCTCGTGCAATCCCCACTATCGGCTTCTGTGGCTTTTGTCTTTTGTTGATAATATATTTCCCTTCCACACTGGCGAAGGTAGGAAAGCTTTTTATTCATATAGAAATATGGAGAAAAGACATTTAGACATCAAGGAACAAATTCCACACCTGGATTTCGCAAATCCCTCTGACAGAAATTATTACTGCACTTATTTGTTGCTGTGTTATTTATATCCCCACATCCCCATCCCCTCCCCACATATATTATTACAGTAAGGCTCGAAATCGGCTTTGTACCAAATATAAGCTCCTGTCATGCTCAAATACCATGAATAGGGTACCGCTGGATTCAGA